TGGCTACTAAAAAATTTAAAAGGAAATGTGTAGATCACATTTTATTTCTATTGAACAACATCGTTCTACTGGAAATATACAGATTTCCAGTAGCTTCATTTAACCACTTCATCATAAACCATCCCAAAAGTTAGTTGCCTAAAACAACAACCATTTTTTATTTCTCGCAATTACCAGAGTTGGCTGGATCTCAGCTGGAAGGTTCCTTGACTGCCCTTGCTTGGGGCATTTGCAGTCAGCTGGCCACCGGGGCTGTGGCATGGGCTGGATGTGTGCCACCAGGGTGATCCCTAATGTGGCTTCTCTCTCCATGGCATCTTGTTCCCCAGGGCCATTCTGTGGCTTCTCTCCACTGAGGAACCCTTGCTGCTTAAATGGCAGCCCAGGGCTTCAAGGCGGAGGAGGCTGAAGCGGCCAGGCATTATAAACGCTTGGGTTGGAAGTCACAGACACCATTTCCTCTCTATATTCTATGGGTCAAAGCAGGTGGAGCGCCAGCCCTGACCAAGAGGAACGGGCAAAGCTCTGCCTCTCGATGGGGGAGCGCCGAGCATGGACAAGGAAGGGCGGAATTGTTTGGGCATGAGCTCTCACACTCATCTCCCCCACAGAGATAGCCATTCAGCTTGTCTAAGGTGAGACTTTAGGGTCCTCACTTTTCACAAGCCTCCGCAGGGGCTGCCCTTTGAAGGACACTTCTCTAGAAGACTTTTGTAGGATCTTGGAGAGTAAGATGTTTTATGTCAGTGTTGTCTCTAGCAGTTAATTCGGAAAGAAATTTAGGATGACGCAAAAGGATGGTTTTCACTATCCATTGTTACCTTCGTGATCATGTATAATTAAAGGATGATTATAAAGCCACTATTGCTTTTGTGAGGGTCAGCAAGCATCACTTGGGCCTGGAAACCAGGTTCCAGAGTGTTAAGGAGCAAGGTGTCCCAGTGACAGACTGCACAGCATCCCAGAACCTCAGGGGAGAGTGAGGGGAGGGGTGTGTGTGTGCCTGTGTGTGTGGTGGGGGGTGCTGGTTGTCAGAATGCAGGCGTTGGAGCCAGCCCACATGGTTTGAATCCCACTTCTCCAGGCCTGTGACCTGAGGGAAATTTCTTAACCTCTTTTTGCCTTCATTTCCTCGCATATAAAATGGGGCACAACAAATTTATATGGTTCTTGTGAGGATTAAGTGTCAACACCTATAAAGCATTTAGAACAGTGTCTGGATGGCCCACGCAAACACTCAGCATTGCCATTTTTATTTCTACAGAGCCATCTGTGGCTTAGTTTTGCACCTTAATAATTCTCCCCCTCTCCCCCCTCTCTCTCTCTTCCCAGAGAAGTGAAGAAAAGAACTGACGAGGATGACAGCAAATCCATTACGAATCTGACGGGGACCAGTTCCAAAAAGTCAACACAGATGAAGAATTGTTGCAATGGTTAAATCCCAAACATCTTTGGCCTGCGAAGCCTTCATTTCCCGAATACTGAGTTTGTGTGACTTGTTTGGTTCTTAGTAGAGTGGTGCATCCTGCTGAAACTGTCACATGGAGGGTTACAGAGTGGGAAATCTCAACAGTTTTCCGTGGTCCCTCCAGAACCTCAGCTCTTCTTTGCTATATCTCAAAGAGCAACTTGGCCCTCCGGTTGAATAGACTTGTCCTTCCAGGTCTTAAAAGATAACATGTAAATTTTTTTAAAGTGATGAAAAAAAATCACATGTTCAACACTGTAGAAGAAACTCCACTGACGTAATTAGATTCATGTGGTAGCTGACTTCGTAGGTAACCTAGGATAATGTTTACTTAAAATATTTGATACTAGAGTCCTGGTGAAAGGAGGTTCTCGTCCTGGCTTTGTTTTTAACTAGCTTTGTGATGTTGGACATGTCACCAGCCCATGTCAGATCTGTTTGCTCATCTGTAAAACCAGCAGCATGGCCTTGCAGGCCTTGGCACCTCGCAGACCCCGCGGCCCTTTAACCAGTACTTGGGAGAGTACAGTGACCATTGACCCCTAGTTAAAAAGGACTCTGGCTATTCTTTTTTAATGTTGAGGTTTTGATATTTATCACTTCTGCAATAAGAACAGAATATAATTGAAAAAAAAATGGAAACAAAAATCTATTTTTTTAATATAGAAAGAAAACATATACTTGAGACAAAAATAGTTGTATATAAAAAAGTATTTCATAATCTCAGAATACTTACAAAATCTGTGGTTTAAATTTAGTGTTAAAAATTCTAATGAAAACATGTAAAACCACATACTACTGAAAGTACAATGCCCTGGAAAGTTGTCAGTCGTTACTTAAAAAAATACACCAGCGAGTGGCTGCCAGGGGCTGGGGACAGAGAGGAACTGGAACCACTGCTAATGGGTACGTGGTTTCTTTGGGGACGTTGACAGTGTCCTGGAATTAGAATGCTGGTAATGGTTGTGTAACTTTTAAATATACTAAGAACCACTGAATTGTATACTCTGAAAGGGCAAATTTTATGGTATGTGAATTATATCTTTTTAAAAAATGAACTGGCACTTAGAGTGATTTAACATTTTGCCAAATGAAAATATTCATGCTTATTTCAAACCTTCTCATGGTTTAAAAGCATAATCTGTAACACAAATCTCCTAACTCCCTAGTTGTGAGAATTAACTCCCTTAAATAATGAGCAATGAAAGAAATACTGTGCATGGTTTTGGAAAATCATGTCTTGAAAAGAGGAATTGCCATTAAGAAACGTAAGTCACAGTCCTTTGTTTAATGTGACCAGTGACTCATCATCACCAGTGACCTGGTTGGTCTTGCTCTCCTTCTAGTACCTGCAGTGCCTCCCAGACTTCCCCCGGAAATGTCTCTAAGAGCCAGAGGCGTCAGCACCTGCCCCCACGGTGGGCCAGTGATGCCTAGCTTTCAGTGGCCCAAACCAATTAAGTTATCGCAACAAAAGAGATTTGAACTTGCTTTGGTTCACATAGGTGTAGACCCCAAGTAGCTTGCTGAAAAGCTTAAATTATAGCCGTTATTTATTGTATTATATTAATATAAGCTAAAAACATTTATTTTTGTTGAATTGAAACAATTCCATATAGCAATCTTTTTCCTGTTTGTGATTTTTGTGATCAAACCTTAAATTCCCCAAACTTCATTTTTTTAAAAATGGAAATTGACCTGATATGTTACTTACAAAGATTATAGATAACTACAGCATCATTTAGGTTCAAAAAACATGCCTTCTCCTATTGAAGACATCTAATATTTTTACTGGAAGGTTGGATCTATCCTCAGTAATTCTACCATGAATTTCTGTTTCGTGTTTCATGGGTTTTGGTCCCAGAAAAAAAAGGTTACATTTCTGATCGAAAAGAATGCCTCGTTTGTGGGGAATTGTCAAAATAAACAGGGGTGGGGGGTATTATATTTGTGGCATGGTGAGACAAGAGCTGTGCCATTGCTGTCTGCCTCATGTCATCTCTTGAGCCCACATGAGAGTGGACTTGATATATATGTGTTGATGTATGAGACACATGTTTGAGTTTTGGTGCATTTGCACAAAACCGCATTAGTGTTTGTGTTATCATGTTGCCCTTATTTATTTACTCCAAAGTGTCTCTTTATATTTATCTTACAATCTGTAAATAAGAATATACTTTTAATACAGAAGTATGATCTTGGTCTTTGCCTCTGGATTGTACACCCAAGTTCATTAGGAGATTACACAGGTGCCTTTTATAGAAAAATCAATCATCTTTATTCAAGCCCAGATAAATATTTTGGTCACATAATCCAAATTAGAGACTTAGAGCTCTGGTTAGCAATCTGGTTTAAAGAAAAGCTACTTAAAGCTCTTTTAGCTGCATTGCTGGGAGATCATGATTGTTTCCAACATTTTAAATTCATAAAGTATTCTCAAATTTAAAGTGTTTTTTTGGTAAGGACAAAAATATTTAATGTTTTTAACTTAGACTTCACTTGATACATTTGCATGTTTGTAGGACAGTTACCTCTCTGTTTTTCCTTTGAGAGCATTTAAAAGCACAATTGTACTGCACTCCCTTTTTTGTAATATCCTGATACATTGGAAAATATTTTAATTTCATTATGGAAAATAATGTTGGATAAGCAGACATTTTTCACTATTAACCTTTAGCCCTGTGCATTTTCGTAATTTGTTTTTTCCACTTGCTGCTTTATATGACATATGTGACATTTGATTATTTAATACTAGAGGTGATTTGCATAAACCCAGTTGAGCAACCCTCCTGCTGAAGATAAAATTGAGGTTAAAGATAAAGATTTATTTTCATATTTGTACAGTGATCGGCTTCAGAGTGATGGTTTTTGTGGGCTTTTATTGTGTGAGTGTGCAAGAAGTTTCATATGTATATATTAAGTAGGCCTCTGAGGATTGAATAATTGTTTTATGATTTTGATTTATATGGTTTACATTTTCATAGTATGGGCCATATTTCGTTTATACTGTTTATTTCTCTTCAAACCATTAATAATTATACCATAAAGTATAATTTTTATGGCAATGCAAATGTCTAAGGAACTACAAATATTTTCTGTGTTGTAAATTCAATAAAGTTTGCTTCCTTTGGCCTTTTGGGTGTTCCTTCAGCTTGACTGCAGATATCCCTGAAGTAATTTTAATTCTAGGATGTGTCTGCATAGAACCGTACCTCTGAAACACTTGTCTTTTTTGGCCGGGGCAAGCTGGCTGGTGGGGAGAAGAATCCATGCCTGGCATGCCATGCTGTGGCCCAGTCGTGCCAACCTGGCCAGCAGGGCAGCGGTAGACCAGCTTGGGTCATGGCAGCTAGGAACAGGGAGGCTTTTGTAGAAGAATTTCAGTGCTCTGGCCATCCTCGTGGCTTCTGAGGGGCTAGTCCCTTTCTCTGACACTCACCCCTGTCTCCCCCACCCCCACACTGCCTAGCTAACTCCACCAGGAAGTTTTCCCTGAACCCCCAAACTAGGATAAGGCACCTGCTCCCACTTCTGTAGCACCTTTTTAAAACATCCTTGTTGCCCTTAAACTTGTTTATTTAGACAGGTGCTCCATACCCTCAGCCACTTTGTCTACTAATTCCTCCCTTCTGTGATGCACGGTGCTTGGTACTTTAGTAGGTCTGATTATTGAATGGATGATCAGAGAATTAACTGGCTAAATAAGGCAAGCTTTGCAAAGAGTTGCTGCAGACACACACATGCACACGTACAGCTGCACATACAAAATAATCATGGACAGTATAAATAAGAGACAGCATATTTTAACAGCCATGGGTATGAACTCTGTAGCCAGCTTGGGTTTGAACTTGACCTCAGACCTACAACTGTGGGCAAGAAACTTAACCTCTGTGAGCCCCAGCTTCTTTCTTTGTAAAATAAGGATGGTAACAGTACGTTTCTGTGGAGTTGTTCTGAGGACTGAATGGGTTAATGCATATAAAGGGCTTAGAATGGTGCATGACACTTTGATCACCCCCAATTAAAAGAAAGAAAGTTTTGAAGCACTATTGATTACATTAGTCTTGCTCAGGACCCTGGGAACTGCCTTCAATAAGTAACGAACTCCAGAGATTTGCCAGATCACAGGGGGATGTGGCATTGTGGAGGGTTCTCTCTAAGTCATGGACCACCTCCCACATACATTCTTGGTGGTTCAATAGACACAAAGTTGGGGAATCATACAGAATAGGATATTGTGTGGGATGGATTAAAAGAGGAGGAAACAATTGAGAAAAATGAGAGCCTGAAACTTAGAATGGAATCACGGTAGAGGTAGGATCTCCATTTATTACGGTGGATGGAATCAAGTAGTGGAAGAAAATACTGCATCTCTGACTGGGATTTTGAATCTAAGTGCCAGTAAAAGTGGTGGTGGGGTGAAGAAATTCTCTAACTAAATGGAAACTGACCTTTATGTTTATACCATGACAAGTAAATAGCCTGTTGAAAAAGATCTCCCATGGAGAAATCCAAAATTCCACAAGATGGGAATGAATCCCCAGGAAAGCATATTATTTTGCAAGCTTTAAAATAAAAATAAATTTTTCTTCCCAGATATGGATGTTAAAATGTTTTCATAGCTGAAAATGGAAAAAAGATAAAAAAATACGTCAACTTAAAATTACAGAGTAAGATAAATTTCCATATGCAAAATTCTAGGAATACCCATTTTCTTTATTTTTCTGTAACTTTTTGTATCTATGTATCAGATTTATTTGTGAATTAATATTTCTTCATTTTCTGTAGAATAGGCATTTAGTTGTAAGGCCCTTTAACTTGTGACCTTTCCAGCTGGTAGTTCATGAGTCACATTTCATAACATTTGACTTAAGCTTTCAAAGAGTTCCTCATTATCTGTAGGATGCTCGCTTTCTGAATATCTTTCGATCCAAGTTCGTGTACATTTTCCCATTGCTGTGCAGTGGGCTAGAACTTGATTGCTGGATAAATACTCTTTCAGGGAGAGTCTTATGAGTAGTTCCAGTGTGATTTTAAGGTTAAAATTAATGCTTTTTAAATCACTACAAATCTCTTCTTGCTCAATCATTCCAGAAACAAATATTTTACCCCTTAGATAAAATCCAGAAACTTCTTAACACCATGTTGAAGGCTCTCTCTGATCTGGCTCATGCCTGTTCGTTCACTAGTTGAGTCAGTATTTATTGAGCCCAACTCTGTCCTGAGGGCT